ACGATTCCCCAAGATTGGTTTCTGATGCTATTTACATTAATTCACTAACATGTGTTTTGTTATGCTTTTTATCAAGTCAAGGTCAGCCTTAACTTGAATTAGTTTCGTTTTCACTTTCGATACTTGACTTCTCTGCACGTGGCTGACGAGCTCTGGTCTTGTTCTTGTATTAGCCTGGGAAGGTCGGTTCTAGCTTCAGCAAGGGATCTGGTACCGTTATTTGAGTGGTCTTCTCTTTTTGTTACGGGCAAACGTAACAGTGTCCACCCACACTCAGTCTGCTGCTCGATCTTGAATGACGGGTGATACCACGAGGTCTACGATTTCAATACACGATATAATTAGCCTATTTTAAAATTCAGAAGCCTTCAGATTTTCTGAAATACTAGATCAACTGCTTTCGCGTAGACAATTGGACATGAGTATATTTCAAAACTTATTGCGATTTAAAAATGTGAATGTTACAAGAAGACACTTTATGTGGGGGTTGAGTTTTCATTTGACAATGTTTTATGAAAGTTCTTTTTTTTTCAGAAAAAGCAAAGAGCTGGCAGGTAGTAGAAGGTGTATAGGTGTGGCTAATCAGTCGTCAATTTCGAGAATACACAACGTCACAAAAAAAATTTCTACTGTCAGCATAAACAATTGACAGGATCCAGGCTTGGGCCTTGGCAATAAACTTAACCTGAACGATACTGCAGGGTTGAAAAACACCCCAAAACATCTAAATAATGTTTAGCTGTATTCATGAAGGCATTTCAAGGTCGTGATTTCAATTCACGATAGACTGACTTGCAAGTAGGAATGATTTACGGCTTCTACTGTCATCCAGAATACCAACTGAGCCTAATTTTTGTTAAATTTATACCTCAATGCTTAACATTTACAATAAAAAATCATTTTATGAGCACATATCGCACATTACTAATTAACTGAATTAATTTAATCAACTCCACGAAACCCTAAAGAGTGATTTTGTGCTTATCCACTGGATATATGTCGCAAATTTGGCTCTCCGGTGACCTTAATTTTCCCTAAATGTTTGCATAAATTAATGCTAATAGATTTTACTTATGCAGTGCCTTGAGACAAAAAAGATTTGCAAATTTTTCCGTTAGTGGACATGGCGGAATTTTATTGCATGAAGCAAAACGCCGTAGGCACATGCTAAGTAAGGCGTCTATCAGGTATAGGTTGCACCAAACAGAAGTATTTAAGTGGACGAAAGTTGTACACACCGTTAAGGTGATTAACTGCGGCAAACGAATCACGATCGGTAAATACGGAATTGATGTGAGAAGGTTTCTGCACTTTAGCTCAGTTTCATGTCAACTTCTGCTCCCTACAAACCTAGAGACGAGTTTCATTTAAATGAACAGAGAAATATCTATCTCCAGAATAATTTAAAAATAAACTTTCACTAAGGTTTTGGAAAAAACACAGCCTTCAAAATGTGATTCATCCTAAAATTAGGTCGAAAGTATCAGAAAGGACTAACACCTATAAGTAACAACTTCAACGCGGCAAAGGCCATGACATTAGATGAAAAACAGATGGATTCGCCCGTTTGTGCTGTGAATTTCCGATTCCAAATCTCAATAAAAAAGGTGTTTTTCGCAAATTTTGAGCTTTAATTTGTCGTAAATTCAGGGAAATGTAGAAAAGGGTTTCTGCTGCTAGTCGATACTCCTCTACTGTTCATTTGCAGTTCAGGGCAGACCGAAATTCCTGTGGAAAAAATAACTCCAATTACAGCAAATGGGAGTCAAGGATTCTGGGCGAAAGTGACACATCTTACTTAATTTTTTGATTCCAGTGACTTTAAATAGAATTCCTGCATGCTATAACATGCATAGTTTAGTAACACTGACGTTTAATTATTCAAATTCACGCCAAACATTCAAATGATACTGATCACGTGACTTCTCTGCTTATTACTTGATGTTGTCTTTAAATGTTAGACTCATTAATTTAAATTGCTTTTCACCCGAATTGATTTGCCTGACAAACCGAAGCAATTAAAATGCCTTTCTTTCTCACAAGCCTTTTCTTTACATTGAACTCACCATGATGAAAGCAGGTGAGTGTTGAAATACTATTTGTTGTCTCAGTTTGTTTAAACATGGTACAACCAAATGAAATGTGAAAGAATAACTGGATCTCAAAACAAAAATTAACTCTTTTCTATTCAGCAAGTCCAATAGTGTTTTCTGTTACTGCTTTGACCGAAGTGTTACCTTCTTCGCCACAACCAGATGCACCCGGCAGTTGCATGCTAATACGAATGCAAAATCCAAGAACAACTGCACAATTAAACTCGAGGAAACGGAGGCTTACAAGCAGTGAATGTTTACTTAATCACAGTCCAAAAAATTAAGGAAAAAATATGCAATTCCACTTACTATACGCTAATCAGCAGGAAGTTAAAATGCAAATTATTGTTAGCATGCATGCATTAAAAATTTCTTTTGTTTTATATACATGTTTTAAGCTCTTGAGTTGTTATACGTTCAACTTTAAACGGGTTACCAAATAACACATTTTTCTACACAGAGGTCTTGACAAAATGCAAAATAACAAAGATTTTTGCCACTTTTCTAGGGCTATTTACAAAATTTGTCCATTAAAAAGTCAGAATTTGCGGCGGGAAGCATTAAAAGCTATTATTCTACTCCTGTTCAACTTCCTTATGTAAAAAGAAGGCGTCTTTATCGTCAAGTTTAGACCAGCACTGTCAAATAATCCAGGAGACAACTGTCAATTAGTTTACCTTTGTTTTTTGCTTAACATTTTCTTATTACCAAAAAAATTTTTTAAGGTGCATTCTTCTGTCACATATTACAAGGCAGCTATTAATAATAAATTATAATTATTACTAGGTTTTGCACATAATACGAAATATAAAATTACCCAAGTGGGGTAAAATACCGAGCTAAATTAATACCAAAGTATCATGGTATAATGTACATTTTGATATACTGCTTAAGCGAAAACGCTTTGACCTTGTAAAAAGTCTCGAATTTTAAACTTAAACTGCTTGTATAAGTTCGAATAGTTGAGGGTGCTACTTTGACTTGCACTGTTGGTGTCAACATATCGCAATTTTATTTATTGGCGTTAGTTTCATTTAGTTCCCAACGGCGATGAATGGAACCGATCTACTCATTTTTTCAACAGTAGCAAATTACCAATGGTCTGTTTACTTCTGCCTCATACATTGAGTTACAACAAATAAATTGGCTGCTACACGTAAATCGGCATTGAATAGCTATTATAACAGTTCTCATTAATTTGTGAATATTAAGCAGAACAAAAACTATTTTAGTGTACTACCTTTCGGTAAATCAATTTTTTCACTATTAATATCAATAAATCTTCATTACTGAACTAGAAAGTGGGATAAGTCACTAGTATATCACAAGTTTAAAATTAAAACTACAGTCTTACATAACGTATTCGTTCACCTCAGATCAAATATATTTAGGATGATTAGATTAGTTTGACATTTATGTGTCACTAAACTAGTATATTTTTTAGGCAGGAATGCCATTTCTAAAAAAATTAACACAGAGCCATGACAGAATTTAGTCAATTTAATGAGCAGAAAATGATTTTTAAACAAGTGAACTCCACCGAGTAAAAAGTGAGTATAGAAACTCTAGACTAGCTTTTTACTATTTTAAGCTAGCTGGACTTATCTAAATAGTACATAAACTAATAATGTACAAAAGAAATCAATGTAAATCAAGGCAGTTCGAGAGGATGCCCATTATATTTTCTGAACTGAGATCACCCACAAACTCAAATCTTTTCTTTTGCAGGCTATGAAACAATATTTTACCAGTTTATGCGGATCTAAAAGTCAAATAAAACAATATTCCTAATGACCAGGAAGACGTGGTGACAAAACACAAAGAGAAAGTTCGTTATATTTAAATAGTACCACGACAAACTATTACAAAACTTTCGGTTTTTTTAAAAGCGATTACTGAACTTTAAACTTGTGTAGCAGTTCGTGTTTAATATAGCACTTTTAGCACAGTGGATATTCAAATCTTTCGGGCTTCATTTCTCATGGCGCTCTCATTTGACGATAGGATTCTTGGTGAGAAAGTCAATAATTACTGCAGCTCCAGTGAGGATGGTGAAGATTCAGATTCCAGTAATGATGATGAAAATAATGCAGATGGTTCATGTGCACCTAGTCCATCTCTTGCTCCTGATTTATTAAGTCAACAAGTTGCTCGTGTATTTCGTGCTCCATTTGTTTGATCTTGTCATGCCTAGACCGGTCCAAAGGGTGTTATTGCAGACTACAAACAATATCAGAGGCTCAAGGCTGAGCAGGATAAAATGAAGGAGGAAATGGCATTGCAGTTAGCAAAAAAGTGCGCTCTCACCAGCAGGTCTTACGTATGCATAATATATTGATCAATTTTGAAATGTTTATAGAACGCCGATCAATTGGCTAAACAACAAGAGCAACAACTCAAGGAGTTGTTTGAAAGCCTTGAGGATGACGATGCTTTTCTGGTGCAGTACAGACAAAGGCGGCTTGCCGAAATGCAAGGGACTCTCGAGAGCCTGTAATTTACATGTTTATATGTTATCGATAGGCCAACGTACGGGCATGTATATGAACTTAATGCAAGTAATTTCGTTCACGAGATTGACAAGGAACCTGCCCAAGTGACTGTGGTGGTTCATGTGTTTGAAGAGGTAAGATATCATGGATTCTTTTTATATCTGTAGAATGTATCGGCGTGTCGCGCCACAAATGAGGGCCTTAAATATCTTTGTAAGGCATATCCGCATTGTAAATTCTGCAAAATCCGAGCCTCGACTGCATTTATGAGCCGTAACTTTGTAAGTTAGCTAACTACTTTTACTATGCATGCGCTTTGCTATTTATGGCACGGTCACATGTGCGCACACATGGTGTGCTGCTTAATTTGTTACTTCTTTCTAATTTCCTTCCAGATTGCCAACGGCGTGCCTGCAATACTAGTTTACAAAAACAAAGAGTTAATTGGCAATCTGATATCAATTTCCAGAGAACTGGATGAAGATTTTGCGCCTGAAGAGTTAGAAACGTTCCTTTTCGAGCAAGTGATTTTAACATTTCCATTTGGCCGACAACTTTGCCACATGCTTTCTTCTATCACCGCGTTAGAAATACCTAAATTTATTGGAAAAATGGTGTTTTTACTGTTAGAATTGAAACCTCCTTTATCGACCCTTTAATATTCGTTTCTCTAGATGTTGACTACTTTTTTCTTTAATCATTGCCCCACCAAATGTCTCTTAACTATTAATAAGCTGTCCCTTTAAGCAATTGGTATTAACTTCATTAATTGCACTTGATGCTGAATAATTTTGTTATTGTTTCACCTTTTCTCGATTACGTATATCATATCTGCATCCATCCTTGTTGCAGTGCTTTTTACTACAACGTTTTGTGTCTAACTAACGCGCTTTTTAACCACAATGGTGGTATCAACGTCTGGTGGTGCTCTACTAGAAATAACGATGTTTGACTTGAACAAAACTTAATGTCCATAAATTATGTTCTCTTAGGTTGGAATATATCATTTCCTGTAATTTTTTACGTATTATACCTGTAGGCATGGTTTCCTGCCTCCCAAGGAAGATAAAGTCTCTCCACTCCTAAGGGATTCGTCGTCCACCCAATGTGCCCCGTTAGACAGCGACTCCGATTAACCCAGCGCATATCTTATTCGGATCTTTTGTTGTTGACTTTCTTGACTTAAACCATTTTATCTTACGCCTCTACCAGCCCATGTGTAATATACTTGCATGTCTAGTGTAGTTAGCATAACTAAATTGCTTAAATTTATAATAAAAAAGTAACTAGCATTTACTTTCAGGGTACTCGTGACGGTAGTTGATTCGTCCTGCTGCTGAGGTTTGCAGTACCTTATTAAACTCATGAAGTTCTGTTATGGCAGATGGTTAAGTTAAAAGCATTATCCAATTTATTTTATTAGTTTCCTCTAAAAGTCATTTCAGGAAATTTTTTGTTGCAAAAGAAAGTGGGGGCTGACTTGACTGAACACAAAAGGTCCTCATTTCGCTAGTTAGTAAAAGGTTGGATTCGATGATACAGGACTGCTTGTATGTATTGCCTAATCGGGCATCATGGGTAAGTACTAATTAGCCAAAGTTAGCGTTTTTGGAACGCTCAGGCATTTGGAGAAGTAAATGATGGTGCGTCTGACATTTATTGCCCTCGATAAACTAGCATTTTAATTTTAAGTGATTAGGATACCATAGTTAGACGACGATTTACGTTGGCATAATAATAATCAGTCGACTTAAACTTAAGTGTCAAAAGTTAACCAAGGTACTTGTTTGCGAAATCCTTTTAGTAGTTTTCCTTACACTAGCTAATTATGTGTGCACTTTTAACATCTGAACAAATTAAGAACGGATCGAAACTATGCGTAATTGGTGAAATATTTGGTTTGTTAATGCAATGTAGATTTCTCAACGGTAGCTAGTTCGCAAACAAGACAGTTCTCGAAAAAAGATAATTTTTGTTCACTTTGGAAGGTGTTAAGCTTGAATGACACCTCCATTTTACCCACTCTTCGTTCGTATGGCGTTATTATAAATTTCCAGGCCATATAAACTGTTATTGTGTCTGCTCTCTTATAATTTACATTGATACTGGAGCATCACTGGATAGCCTCTGGAGTATGTTACAAGTGAATAAACTAAATTCGTTATCTGTAGTACGTGTTTATTTTGTCAGACAGACATACAAAATACATCAAATTTTGAAACATTTGAATAATGGTAGCTTTTAGTATCAATCAGTCCTTTGTGTGATGTAGCCCGCCGAGAAGCATAACAGAAAATGTAGTTAATAGTAAACTGTTCCTTAAGGGTAGCCACAGAGTTGTAAAAGACTTTTTAAAACAAGCTGTTGAAAATCAAAGGTGGTTCAAGTACGATAGGTGGGCGATGATTGCAGTGACAGCTGATTAAGATCCATAAACGTTAGTGGTGGTAAGGCAATTTGGAAATGGGGAGGGGTGTTCGCGAAAGGAATGAAGAGTTGGCCATCATTGTGGGTCCTGACAAAATGCCGTGCATCTGATATTAACTACTTAGGCGGTGCTTTAGGAATGTCTCGTACAATGGGATATAACCATGGAGCTGGAAAGCTTAAAGATTAACCTTCGAAATCATGAACCAATAAATGAACCCATTAATCTTAAAACAGCATGGAAATAGCAGCTAAAGGTCTACTGGAATTTCGTGGACAACTAAAAGTTATCTTTAAAACCTAATAATAAAACTTAGTATTAATGATTTTAACTTATCATCTATTGTCTTAAACCGTTTCCGGTATTTATACATTGTTCCTAGGATTTTAAGACACATTGGTAAACATTGTAGTAATTCGAGCTATAATTTGGCATTAGCAGCCTTACTATTGTACAAGGACACAAAAAAGCACCTTAAAAAATTTCCCTATAGATCGGTGAGAAATTATGGTCAAATTTGAGATTAACTTGTGTAAACTGGTATACAGAAGAAGCCCATTTAGAAATCTCCTAAAATAAATTCAATTAATTTTAATAAAGCAAAAGATAATTAATATAACTTAGAAAGACCTAAACGAAATTAATTAACAACAAGTGCTGCAATAAAAGGTAACTACTTTTACCTTACCAGGATCATCTTCTGTTCAAGGTTATAAGGAGGAGGAATAATCAAAGTTGTTTTGACTTAAACCCAGCAGTAATTTGGTCCTCACACAATGTTGCCTGCAAAAGCCTGTAAATAGTGTCTGTAATATGCATTTTTAGTGTCTGCTAAATTAAAACTATTTCAGGAAATTAATTGTAAAATTGTTCTTGGTGTCGGCCCCATTCCATCCTCAAGTGATGTCGTAAACCTGCTGAAATATTTTCAGTCCTGTCTTTATGGGTAAATTTTTTTATTTGTGATTTTTTTCAGATTTATTAGGGACAATCCGAATTTTAATAGAGCTGTAGTGAACTCTCCTAAGTTTGATGAAGAATTCCAAGCTACAATGATTCCGAAGGCTTCAATTGAACAATTATATATAATTATTGTCAACTTAATTGAAAATGTTGGAAAACTGACAAGCATGATAAGTATGTAATGTTGTTGTGTTTTACGTTGTTTTATACCTGTTTTAGGCTCAATAAAAGTCAAAAATATATTTAAAATTTTCGGGTAATTAACACATCTTTGAAACACATTGGCTCTTTAATATCTAACCTTGGACTTCTCAGCTAAAATACTGTTTATGTTTTGGACCATTGGTTATTCCTTCATTTTTTTAAATCTACAATTTTTAAGTATTATTTTGCTATTTCCTTAGTTACATATCTTTCTAATCCAGTCTATATCTAATTTTTTGTGAATTCAAATGGGCATTTTTTTGCTTTAAAGTGTTGTACCTCTTTTCGTAATCCACTGGATGTCTAATTTTATAGTTGCAGTACATTAGGGGTTTATGTTCTAAGATAGATTTTATTTGGAATGGATATTGTCTAACACAAACCCTGTGTTTGGATTATGTGAAGTCATTGTTATGCTCACATATTTGTGTATCTTTTTTTCAAATAATACTTATGCGAACTAACTTCCTATATACTGTAGTGAATCCATCCACGATGCCAAATTCGTAAAATATCTTTTTCTCTTTAGATGTATGTGAACATATTCTCCGGACCCTACATCTCGTAATTTTATTTTTGGACGACGAACAAATTAATGGTCTTCCTATCCTTCTTGCAACGTCTGTCAGCTTATTTCCTCCGGCCGTTCATTCAAACGTGATAGAACTTCTTTGCTCTGTGGTTATACCCTTGGTGTATAGTAAGCTTTGTGACTTTCAATATACTTCATTTGCTTAAACACACCATGTTACTTGCCAAATCGATTACAGCCAAAAGCTCTCAGGATTCATATGCCCTCGATTCTATTCCATCGATGCTTACGACTGTATTCCAACATGTTGAAAGCCCCGGTACGTCTAATACTTTTATTTTCTAGGAAGGTCAAATGCTCCATTCCAGGTATAACTCTAAAGTATACTTTTAGAGTGTCATTCATGGCTTTTGGAGAGTCTTCTAAGCAGAAAGAAGGAGTTATACAAGGTATATTTAACACAATTTTACGCTTTACTGCATTTTACTAATAGATAAATTATTCGGTTGCTAAAGCTTAATTTGATGTTATATCTTTGTTACATTGTCCAATTGCTAAGTGATAAAAGTTTTACATTGGTAGTTAAGTTAGCTTTGACAATAAAATTTAAACAGAGACCCATAATAACAATATTTACCAGCGTGTGCATTTGACTACGCTGCAGTGATTCATTTTTTGCATTACTCTGTCAAAACAAATCCGTTTTGCTAACCTTCACTTATCCACGACCTAATTTAGCCTCGCTTACAATTCGATCTGTTATATCCTTAAAATTAGAAAAATATATGTTTGATTTACTATTCTTAAATGAGGTTTTACCTTTATTAATTTTAGGATCTATTTACTGTGATTGCTTATGGCTCCACAGAAGCTAGGTTGCCGGCTACCTACTTGCTGTTTCACTATTGGCCTGAACTCTGTCCAACTGCGTTTCAGATTTTTGAAACTTTGAAACCAAAACATTATACTTGGGAACGTATGTTAAGGCTCCCTGCTATCTGCTTTATTAAATTGGTAGCTTTTCACCATCGGAATTGAATTTACACTAATCGAGCTCGTTTGAATAGGAGCTTAGATGTACTTATGAAAAAAGACAGTTTGGGTTTTACCAGACTACGCATGAATTTAGTAGATCTTTAAACATTTTCCTACGATTTTGACTGTCTATGTCAAAGCTGACATCATAATCCTATTGTGCTCTTCTATGTAGCCTGGAAACCAGTCGCCTGCGAACGCACTGACTGTCCTAATAAAGCGGGTAAAGCTTTCGCAATGAAGGTAAATGACACGAAGTAGTCCGTATTATGAAATTTGTTAACTCCAAATAATTATTTGCACTTTTGGCATTCAGATGACGATGGATGCCCAAATTGCCGTTAAACACGGCAACAAACCGCCGCCTCTGTATGTTTGTCTCGACTGCGCGGATGCATTGAACAGGCGTGACGTCGACCAATTGGTTGACATACTACTGCCCAGTCGACAGGTAGTATTAAATTGAGCACAACTCGTCTTGTATACTTATTATTAACCCTAAAAGAACCCAAGTTCCAATGCCATAATGTGTACTTAGAAAGACTTGAGATTGAAAAATCAACATTTGTGTGACCAGTTTTAAAAAATACCAAGCGAACTTGCGTATTTTGTGGAAGTAAACTAGTCCAATTTTCTGCTTCTAAACCTGAGTCAATTCTAAAAACCCAGATGAGTATGGTTTGTGAGTCGAAGACGTGCCGCAGCAAGAACAACACGGCCATCTTGACTTGTTACTCGGTGGAATGTGCCTTCCTAAATGGAAATCGGCCAATACGCTTTTGCGAAACGTGCCACCTCATTCGCCACAGTTCGCAGGCCTATGAGACAGGCACGCCTGGGAAGGATTCCTCATTCACCGAACACATTTATCAGGTGAGGACATATAAACCGTTAATTATGCTCCACTGTTTAGTATCAATATCGTAAAACTGAAACTAATTTAGTACACTCTGTATGCACTCTGTTGTGGCTCATTACAAGTGAAATCTATTTATCTCATTTGACACCCAAATGGTATTTTCTTAAGCCGTGAAAACAGCGTCAAGTACACAAGAAAAACAAACCAAGTTATCGACATAAAGCACGAAAATAAAGGCTTTGGTGTTAATTTCTATGAGCTATTATTCACAAGTTGTGTATTTAAATATACCGCTCATGTGTTTTCAAGTGGTATGAGGTTGCTGTGTGTTACCACTTTGATTTAAACTCCATTATTCTGTATTGTGTTTGCACTTGAACAGTTTGACGCCTGAATTCTTTAATTAACGAAGCAATATTGCGATCCCACCCTTGTGTTTTTAGGGTTTCGTGTCGCCGGTTTTATTAATACTTTTATCTCTAAAAGTAGAAGTGTTAAAATAAATTTGAGATTGCTTTAGGGGTTGAGCTTCATTAAGGCGACCCATTGCACGAACTTATTACGGCAGATGTCAGTTTTTTTTGTGTTTGTCAGTGTGATTTAACTTGAAGATAAACCTGACGAACATTTGCACTTTCTCCACAGACATTGCTCGAGTACATTAGATGCACTAAACGCCAGGTGTCCAAGTGTAAACAGCAGTGTAAGCACATTTTTGCTTGACAGACCCAAATTCCGGACATCTGGGTAAGCGGCCTTGATCTTCAGCCAATGATGCTCGAGTCAATTATAACCTTGATTCGGGAAACCATGCCGCGGTGGCGCCAACTCCTGCTAGGGCTGCCCAGTGAAGCGGGCGGCGGGGGTCGAATGGCCGGCATTGAGAGAAGTGTGAGTGGAGGGCCCTCTGCACCCGGCGGTCCCCCTCAGCTCCCCACGGCCACCGGCCCCGCCTCCTCTGCCTCGGACTTCCTCATGGCCGGCGCGGCCGGTTCGGTGCCCCTCACACCTGGAATCCTCAGCGCCAGTCAGTCACCGCTGAACCCAACGCTCAGCTCGGATGGCGCATCGCTTGGGGTTGGTCATCCTGTTTGAAACCTTATGCCTGTATTGGGGTAATGCTCTCACGACTGCAACCAACTGCCAAAGATTGATGAAGCTTTCTAAGACGGCGTGGTCATTTACTTAACGGTCTTTTCAACTGAGGTTCATAATTATGATAAGTATTACAGCCGATTAAACGATACTTACTGAATTAAACGAATGCATTCAAAATATAAAAATTGTAACTTCAGCCGACTATTTATTTGCGTTTTGCTGCCAGCGAGAGGGGACTGTCCAAATCAAACCGGTTTTTCAATCCTATGGACGGTTTGCAGTGGGTCCGAACGGAGAGTCGGAGTTGACGCTGGAAGGTCGTTATGACGACGAGGATCACAAGATTCTTGCAGTCTACGGGGCCATGTTGGTTGGCGAAAAGTGCAGGCCAGGTGATAAGATAAATCTGGCAAGTGTTACGAATGTCTAACCCTTTCCTCTGATTGATTTTTTGTGCATTTTATTACCATTAACCCTCATCGATCTTGCACCTCGTGGTAGTAACGTCTAGTAGTAGTATTGCTCTAATCATTCAGAGGCTCAAGTTAACGATTTCTTTTCATATCTTTGTTTCAAACACCAAATATTTCAATTTTGATGAATTGTGGAATGTTTTTCTGGGCCATCACGTAGTCGATTTGTGATAATCAGCTTATTTTTCGTCTCTCTGTGTCAAAAAACCGGGGAATGTTGCAGGAAATAGCCTACTTGAAGTGAAATGATGGTTCTTAACTTATTTATCAGTGGTTTAATGAAGTTGCAGAGCGAATTACTGTTAGTTGGAAAAAAGGGCACACGAGGAAATTCAAGAAAAATGTGCGCATGATTTAGCGAAACGAAATAACTGAATTTTAATTCATCTGTGTTTAAATTTTTGTCTACCTCCTTTTAGGATATTTTAACTCGAATCACGGCTGGAATTTTTAACTGGTTTCTGGACACTGCGTACACAAATGAAGGTTAGTTATACCTAATTGTGTGTGAATTATATCACTTTATCAGTGTATATGCCATTTGACACTTTGCTAACAGCTTGAGTAGATTTGCTTTGTTAAGTTCTCTTTAAAACACTTTCATTTCAGCTACAAGTTACTACTATGCTCCTGCACCACCAAAAAACCATCGTAATGTTCAAATATCCTGTTTTGCTTAATGTCCACTCGCTTAACTGCTTCGATGTGACTGGCTTTGGGTCGCTTACCTATTTTCATTGTTTTTTAAATACGCTGTCTCGTTGGAGTAAGTGACTTCACCAATTGGGAGTGATTCTGGCACAAAAAAGTGGTTGTAATTGGTAAATGAATCCGGTTTTGCTCTATGGCCACTCGTACAGCTTAGCATTATATAGATTCTCATGATTATCATATAATTTACATGACCTGCCAAAAGACACACGTTTCATCCATTCTCAAGGGCACAGCAAACACTTCAAACGCCAAACCCTTCTGTTTTTTCAAGGCACTGTACCGAAATGGTTTAACACGAGGTAGTTCTCATAGATCATTGTAAAAATCTACTATCAGAAGCTGCTTATTAAAATTTAAGTCCGAACCGCATTATATAAACACTTGACTAAAAACGCTCTGAAATGAAGGTAAGAGGAACCGGAATATCCATGGGACACGTACACCTAAACACCACTGCACATCGACCATGCCCCGTTCTGAATTATCAATAAGGTATTTGCCTATTTTAAACTACAACATGCGCCATTTGTGCGTTAAAATGAAGTGTTGCACTTTTTAAACTGACCTCACAGGCATGGCCCTCTGAAACCGCGCAACTAATCCCACTACTTCAGATTCTCACTCTAAAATTTGGCTGACTTGTAACGCCGCGACTTCCTGCTTTATATCGTCCGCTTATCTGCTGACTAGCGTACGCGCATGCTGGTAATCCAGGTCACAAAAGTCGTGTTCTTATTGGTTGCTTTTCCTACTTTTTTTAGATGAGCTGGGCGAACTGATTGAGCGTTTAAAAAGCGAGGTGAGCGCGGCCCCGTATTGGCCAATAGTGGACGCGTGTTTGCCTCAAGAATTATCAAGCTGTTTTCAGACGCATGTTGCAAAATTTAAGTCAGTACTTCAACAAACGCAAGATACTTAAGTAATGGGGAAAGTTGCAGTATTGCTGCATGTTAAACTAGGAAGCATTTAGAAGCACAGTGAAGTAGATATCTAAGTTGGCACCTATGTTGTTTTTTTCTTTGCTGATGGGTGACGCTTCCTCTGTGAAATAAAATTCCTTAAGATATTTAGATGTCCATCCAATGAATAAGAACTAGTGGCCATTAGATTTCCCGTAGTGTGATAATTAGCTGAATTCCATGTCTGGTCTTGGATCAGTCTCTCCACGTTAGGTGTGTTTGCCGAAGTGGCTCCTACTAGGCGTAATTTCAGTCCGTGAAAATTCCTACCTTGACTAGTCAATTTAATAAGAGCTGGGGCTTTGCTACTTTCAGTACATTTTGAAGTGGATTCAAGAAGTTCAACACATGCATCCAGAGGTGGTTCTCGCTGTACTCCTTCCACACCCGGTTGAAGTTGCTCGTGTTGGAAGTTGTTGGTACGTTATGGATTTTTACTTGACGTCGAAGATTTTATCATGCGGCCACACTTCAATTGAAATTTAAAAATGCAGTTAAATAAACGTTTGATCAAGTCCAGTCCTAGAAAATGGGCCAACACCTCAAGCTGGATCCTCGTCTTAGGCCACAGATTCAAATACTGAACAGATTAAAAAGGAACTACCGGTTTTTTGTTGTCGCACATGATTAGATTCCTTATGGCTCATTCTACATGCCACAGATATTACAAAATCCAAGTCGCTAGCCCCAGTGTTCTGACGGCAAAATCCCACTTGGCATGCTGTCACTACCCCATCTGTCAGGCCTTGGACAGGTGGGCTGTATGGCCGTACTTTGGTTTCTATATTTAATCGGTGGGCTAATTTGTGCCTAGTGTTTGCACGGAGATTATACAAGGAATTAAGTGTTTCCTGTCGGCCCTTGGAGTTGTAAAAGTGGCTGCCTAATGGATGTCAACCTGCGAAAGTTTGATGCGTCTTTTTGCAATCGTCCTGGTCACCCCAAAAGCTGTGAACTTGGCACTCCCGGGTGTCAGACTTGAAATCACACAAGCACTTTGCCATCCACGTCGTTAACATGTTCAGGAAAACTCAATTAAAGGTGTCTGGCTCAGCTGAACGATCTGGGATTACTGTAAGATGTATTCAAGCTCTGTCCGACTTCCCTGTGTTAATGACGCACCTGAAACGACCTGTTACGGCTAGACAGCTTCAGAGATGGTTTTTTTCTACGATGTCAAAACAGCGTAACGCAAACTTTTTTTAATTAGAAACACTCATGTTCGCTTAGTCAGATGTTACAAAAATGTATCAACCGGGAAACTTCATTATTACTGATTTTATTATCAGCAGAGTATTGTACTGAAGCATCCACAGCCAAATTCTGCATTACAACGTAGTTGTATTGGGATTTTGTCAGTCTGGTCAAGCAGTGTTTCTCGCCACGCAAGTAAATTGGTCCATGGCTAAGTAGGTGATCATTTTTTATCAACTTTCTCGTTATACGCTTGGCAGTGACTTTATTTTGACCAGATTAAACAACCTTAAAGTTATAAAACACAATATCAACATGTCAGTACGATTTCCCCCAAGAACACCTAATTCATGTTTCTCCATACCAAATCATCGTTTTGTTAGCATCGCTGGATCACTGAATCAGGCAGGCATTCTTTGTTCAGTTTGAATTATTTAAAGATACGTAATTAATCAGCCCTCATTTTTTTGCACTTGCCATCAGGGACACGTTTTGCGGAAAGACGGCCGTCGTGAAACAAGGCCTAAGCCGCATCAGCAGTCTCATCCCATACGACGTAATGACCTTCGAGGTAGGCGTACCCATTTTTACCTGTCACCTCATCATTCCACTCACCCCACGATGGTATTTATTGCTTGCTTTTCCTTTAGACATGGGACTACATAATGCCCTACTGGTTGGAGTCCATTCGCACAGAAGTCAAACCAGACGAATACCGTGAGCTAGAGGTTTTACTGAAGTACGTGTATGGATGTGACTTTCGTTGGAGTTGTCGTGTACCGCTGCGGCTTTTCGTCTCCTCTTCTTTTTGTAGGAAAGTGTTTGACGCCACTGCCGGTCCTTTTCCTTTTCTTCCGGCCAAAGTTTACCACTTCGCCAGCGAACGCTTCCTAGACGCCACTGTTCCCGTTCAAGACCAAGTTCTATCTTGGCTGGAAGTAAGGGGACATCTCGTAGCCATTAAATTAATTTCCTACCACAGCACTGAATTATGCTTTTACCCAAAAAAGGTTTTCATTTCTGGATTAATTCAAAGACTTTAAAAAACAGCTGCGGATCAACTTCGATCGTAATCACGACGCTGTTATTTATGATTGATTGACAGTTCCCTGTATGTCTATAGAACTTACGCGTTCAAGCATGGGTCAGAATGTACTAGACAGACATTTGGTAAGGATAAACCATTTAGTGACATCTAAATGAATTATTCCGAACCAGTGCGTACTTAGGTACCTTTGTTTCTGCTGGCTTGTGCTTGACTACTCTTCCAAAGCACTAGAAGCAGCCCGCTGCGAAGTTAATTGGTGCAATTTAATTGCATGAAAAAGCAGAATTTACTTCTGCATCAGTCACAGGGTTGTTGATCAAGCATCGCTTTATCATTGGTGATGCACTAAAGCTAATAATTGGGAAGAAAACTGAGGATCTCCTTTTCAGATTTTGACGGCTGTCGAGGTGGCGATTCCAGTAAAAGAACTCTTCACAATGTTCCGCAGTGGGGTTTCGGCTTTTCACAAAGCTGGAGTTCTCAGTGACACGATCTGCCTCGAGGAATGCCATTCACTGCAGCGTCAGTCGACGTGGTTCGGGGACGACAACGAATACGATCTTGAAAACTTCGCCTTCTCCAACGCCGACAGCTTCGCCTCCGACGACGGCGATGGGGGTGGCGGAGTGGACAGTGAAGACGGCGACACCAACCTCCTAGACGAGATGGAGGAAGAGTGCGAAGACAACGACGATGAGGAGGAAGGCAAGCAGCAATTCATGCTTTTACTGCCTTGTACTTTGAGATTGGCTTCTCTTGTAAACTAATTTTACCGACAATTCGGTGATTATTTGGGCTAAAACATCTTTTCACATGGCCTAACTGACTAATCAACAAATTACCTTCGAGTACACTGAACTACTGTTTATCAGAACCTTTTTTGAATCAATTTCAAATTCACTTTTTGTACATTTAGGCACAAATTCTTTGCAAAAACTGGCAATATTTGAAAGCATCTGAGACTTCATGATATAAGCTGCAATGTTAAATGTTGTGTCTATTGTCATTGCCCTAAAAATTCCAACAAGATAGATCTAGGTGCATTGTTAATTTTTGCAAAACCAGAAGAAGCCGGAGACGGACTCCAAAGCCCCAGCCAACCTGAGGAAGTCGGAGACGCCGATGAATTCGAGGCGGTAGCCACCAGCGCTGTCGACGCCGACGATTCAGCCGGTCTCTTGGCTCCGGGGACAAAGTCTGCAACCGATAAACAGAGTCGAAAGAAATCCTCTTCTCGCGATGCCATTCGCTTCTTCCTTGGCGAGAAAAAGGGCCTAAAAGAATCCGTCAATCGGAAGGTCTCCGAGGAGCTCAACCAGCTGGCAGAGGGTGTGAAACGGAGTTCCGAGGGTAAGACCCGTCCCGCCTTGCCGAACATGGTCGTGTCGAACGCGAAACGCCAATCACGACGCTTCTCCATGCTGAGCCGCCGAAAGCTCCGGGCTAATTTCTGGACTGATAAGACAACTGTGGTCTACAGATCAACGCGTTGCCTGGGACAAATGCTTCACCTTGTCATTAAGCAGGTTAGCGCAATCAATACAATAATGCATTATATTGAAGGTGTTTCTACATGCTAAGTAGACTAAAGAGTTAGCACAAAATTGGGGTTACTTACTTGAGAAAGCAGCAATCACAAACTACCTATTTGGGAACTGACCACTATGTTTGGGTAGTAAACATTGTATGAAGTACCACCGATTGTACAGTTTATTAACTCGCATTTTCCCCTATATCTGTGCTATTTAAAAACGGCCTTTGCCTAATCAGCTGAAGCTCACTGATCCGTTCGGTCACGCGGGGTTTACGCAAGAAGCTCCTCAGCTGGTGCTCGCTTTGCTCAGCGACATGCTTCACCTCACGTGGATGCCAGCAGGCCTTCGAGGTGAGGGGTCGCGTTTGCCGCGTAATCGCGCTCCAGCCGGGGGACACGGCAGCAGCAGCAGCAGTTGTCTGGGTCATTGCACAGCCCCTGCTCCCGTGGCCAATTGTCAAAACCCCCCAGCTGCTGGCGGAGCAGGCGGGAGTCTGGCAGCCCTCTTTTCAGCCACCCAGTCCACGGCCGGCCAGGTGGACGATGACTTCTGCGCCTACTGCCAGGACGTCTGTTGGTGGTTTGAAATGGCCAGTCAGTTGTGCTGCCACATTGCGCCGGCGTCACCACCGGCTCTGCCGAAACTCGAATTATCGGCTACTGCAATCGGTGCTTTCTTGATTCCACCTGGTGAGTTCAGATCCCCACAGCTGATAGCCAACGTTACACAGCTAAGCTGCTCAGTAATTAAGCTTAGAAAGAAATGCTTTTCTCTCTAACATTACACAGTTGTAAACGCGGCTAAAATTAATAGCAGATCTTTGCACTTGTGAAATAGGGACAACTTAGCAGAGTAAAACGAATTTTCGTATGTGTTTTATCAAGCTGTTTCACAGCACTGCTCAGCGTCGCCTAGTGTGTTCCAAATGAGTTCCAGCTATTTATGGAAACGATATTTAATTAGTTAGTTGCACTCCATAAACGAGCTTCCCATAAACGACAACCGGCTATGCATTTTTCATTGCCATGGAGATTTCAAGGACATCTTCGACGAAGCAGATTTAGCAAACTGATTTGATGCAAGCAGTTACACAGCATACTAAATTTTGCAAGCAACCATTTATTGTGAAAAAAAAATAGTTGCTTTACACGAAAAGTCGATATTCGACTTTGGTTATGACAAAGGTAACAACATTTCGTATATTACTCTATAAATATGAAACGTGAACACTTGTCAATATGGAAGCACATCTAACACATTTGTAACAATCAAAGTTGATCAAAATGACGCTTTATCCTGGAATAGAATAAAACAATCATTTTTCACGATAATCTCTCAATAATCTGTGCCGAGATACGACGGGCCGTCGGTAATTTTAAAAAAAAGAGGAAAATTTAGCTTTTTCAAAAGTGAGTGCAGGCAACTAATGTTTCCACAAAACCTAACTTCGTTTCCTTGACAAATTGCATCCATTTCAACCAAACTATCGGGCAAATGGCTAGGATAATTCCCTGTTGGATTGTTAGGATTTTACTAAAGCAAGTTAAATTAAATTAATATTTATTACGAAATTGCGTGGCAATTACAAGGACATTGCTGGCACCAAATGACACAAATTTATCCGATCGAGGCGTTCTTTAGCTTTATTGTACTTAATGCACATTGTCTTTCATGTGGCATTTTTGTGTTCTTTTATATTATCAGTTTGGATGCTTGCCGATGCATTCCACTTCCAATGACACAGTTAGTGCACTCTTGAAGCCATGTGAAACCTGTAGCCAGAAGTGTCCGTTTAATGTGTAAATATAGGAGATGCCACAACGATTATATGGCATTTTGAGAGCTCACAGGGGGATTTTATGGGCACTCCTGCTTGCACAGACGCCAGTGCGACCTTATTTTGCCATTTTGCTACCTGAGGTCAGTCCAATTTTTCAGTCACATGACCGCTTCCACTCCACAGAAATGTTACTGCGATTTGGCATCTGACTTAGCCACAGTCATTAAAAAATATGTGTATTTGTGTAAATTAATGGAAATATTTTGATGTGAACGTGGTACTATGGTTGGAGTACAAACATCAGCACTTTCAAAAAGGCAATTTCAATGAATTATCACACTCGGTTAAGTTGCTCTGACTTTCTTTTCAGTAGTTATAGTAGCATTTATTTGTGAAAATTTGAAATGGTTACAGAATGGTACATCTATCTAACTTTCTCAACTCAGCCTTCCCAAAATGGTGCACTGGCTTGGCTGCCAGCGAAATTGCGAGGCGTACAGAGGTAAAGAACTTGGGTTTTGTGAGCGACGATCATTCCCAGCCACCGACAGCCATGGATACTGACTCGACAGAACCCTCGGAAGCCGACCTACAGAGCTTCCCTCCAACACTTCGGTTCATCTACCAGCTCCTTCGCTGCCTCATGGGGAAGTGGGGCTGTGCTGGAGTCTCCTACGTCCCCAAGCCACAAACTTCAGGCGAGGACTCAGATGGAACGCAAGTTGTTTACGAAGGCAGGACCCCACGCGACCCAGTGGTGCTGCGACACCTACTCGAGTGCCTCAACTACCTCGTGCGTGTTGGCAATGCCTTGCAAAACATCTTGAATGCCGCAGCCAGGGCGGCTGAGATTTCGGCCGCGTCGGCGAGTGTGGCAGCAGGTCAAGACGCCCCACGGCTAGCTCGACCCAGTGGAGTTCCAGCCAATGCCGGTGCTTCTCTTGGGGTTCAAGCCTCGTTTGTTCTCTACATGGTTGAACATTGCATGATTCCATCGTAAGTTACAACTGCAGCAGTTATTATCACACACCTTTTGTGAGACGAAGGCGAATTTGACGTCTGATTATGTTAATGTAGTAGTTTGTTCTCTAACAGGGGACCGTCTGACGCAAGGGGGTCGTAATTTAAAACTTTCCTGTGGATCTCAATTACGGTTCATGTTACTTACTTAACAGATGACATTTTTAAATACATATATGTGATATTTGATGCGGTTATTGTTAAGATCTGTAACAGATAAAAAGTGCTGGACTACAAATCGTTGTTTTAGATTGTGGAACTTGTTGACAGCTGAGTACTCGCACCTAGCAAGTTGGGTAGTCCCTCTACTTCTGCAGACTCTAACCGTGCCTGGAATGGCTAACGTCTTCTGGCACCTCATCGAACAAGAATGCACCCATGTGGACTGGAAGGTTAGGTTCGACTGCATGGAGAAGATATACTCACTGCTGCGACAGCTGGACGTCGCCGTTGTCTCCGGTTTCCACAATGGACCGGCATCGAAGGGTCTAACAATCGGACGTCTAGCGGCTTCCTCTACGGTGAGCAACAGCGGTGCTGGAAGCGGAGGTGGTCTCGCAGCTCGCGCTGGTCGTCGTGTCGGAGCATTCAAGGGACATAACGCGAACGCCAACTCGGCGTCGAATGCTTCAGGGGGATATGGAAGCAACCTTCTGTGGGGAGGAGGGTATTCACGGGGAATGGATGGAGCCACAAATGGCGCATTGGGGCCCATCCATCCCTTTGTAATTAATGCAATTGCACACCTCTTCTCGCGTCTGATTGGTTCCCTTGATGACTACAGTTCAGTCGTGGCTCAGAGAACGTCTTATCATCTCAATGGCCTTGACGACAATGCACTGAGCGTGAGTATTTGTCGCGCATATTCAATCTCGTTACACCACGTGGACGAGAAATTGCATTCGCGTTATCATCCAATCAGATTTCTTCCCCTGGTTGTACGCGCTACTCTCCTACAGTTAATTATAGAGTTGCAAAATTTTAAAGTTAATTTGTAAGTAGTAGGAAATCGGCAAGTAAAAAATGCAGGAAATTCACCATTGAACTGAAAGTGACTTGCTAAAAGTGAAATTATTTAATGGAGAATTTTTCTGCAAGCGATTTTCGCATATTCCCGCTATCACTTTGACAAGCAAGGTAGTGGTTTTGCGTTGCATTCCACAAATTTTCTGAAACACGTGATAACAACCTAGAACTCGATGTGGAAACCACTAAAACTGTGCCAGTCTCATTCAGAAAGCTTATTTTGATTATGATATGTCTCTTTTTTGCACACCTCTTAAGTGCTGTATCCAATGCCTCGAGTACCACTTCGACACCATAGCTTCTGATCGCACAGTTGTTTTACAACGGATGCAGCAACTGAGTTCCGCCCTCCCGAATCGCCAGATATTCACCTGGGATTTCTTTATTGACAGATTCGGTATCCTTTCAATAGGTGCGCAAATATCTGGCAAAACCAATCCCGATATTGACTCTGGTGAGTGGGATTTTTTAAACGTTTAATTACAATAAACTTGTTACTGATAAAGTAACAGTAAGGCGTTATTTATGTTTGCTGTGAGTCTGAATCTGCGGTGTCTAGATAGCTGAGATCACATATTCATTTATTCTGTAACATTTAAATGGAACATCCTTCTAGATTCTCGTCCCTATAGCTTCGTTTAGTAGATGACTTAAACTGAGGTAGTACATTATCCAGGTATTATATGCATGCCATTGAAGACGCCTTCCTACATTTTATGCTTCCATTTTGGATTGAAAATTAATAAATACTTCTAAGTAAAGTTGGTTTGCTGATGCTTTCAGTGCTCACAATAAAAGTAAATACTGAAAAGGGCGACAAAATGTCAAAATTAGCCGTTTATGCAATAAGTACGTATCCACACTCCCAATTTTAATGCATTCATGTAAAATGACGTGTCATTCAAAACCCATTTCAGTGACCGACCTGAATAACATGAACAAACGCGGCGATGCATTTCAACAGCAGTTCAATCGAGCAGTTTTCGCCGCATCGGGAGCTGGCATGTTGCCTTCAGTTAGCAGTCAGACGCGGTACCACAAGGAAGACGACAAACGCCACGAGAATGCTGAGGTCACGAAAACTTCTGAATCGAAGGTCCAGCCTCAGAATTCCTCGCTGAAGCACACAGGTGAACATGACGTCGGCAGGACTTCACATTCCGCTGGTAGAGTGTACAATTTCGCATAGGCTTGTGTAGATTCAATACCTATCAACCTAAACATTAACACTTTTTGATTATATAATTACTGAATTTGGTGTCCGATTGAGTGGCCTACTACCATTAGTTCACACAGCTTCCGAAATTAATTTAAGAGACGGAATTTTATTAAGTAGTATCTGAATTATTTATAATGAAAACATCTGATCTGATGATTCTAAAGTAGATAACGAATTGCAATTCTGCGAGATTGTTTTTTAAGTCAATTAGCTGGTCGTAGATCTTGACTAACCATGAAATTTATTGTTGGAATGAAGTCTAAATTGCTTCTTATCTTCAAATTTTAAATTAAATGCAATTTCAGGCGTTTTTGGGTTAATTTATTTTAAAATTTGCGCATTGAATTAGATGAGTTTTAAACAAATTGCAACTGTGCATGTCAACATCAGGTGCCCAAATAATGTGAACACTTTGCAGATTGTTTTATTTAGTCTGCGTAGTGTAAATTCTCAAAATTAAATTCTCTAGATAGGCGACGGGTATTTGCTACTTATTTTCAGAGCCACAAAACCACACTCCAGTAAATGAAAATCGTCGACCACGACCGTCCGTAATCAAACTCCATGGCTTTTTCCCCGGTAAGTGTTTCATCCTCACTCTTATGATCAAATCCAGGTATTACTTCTCAGAGGCGATTTCGTTCATTTATCACTTTACATTTTCAACCTGTTCGTGTTTTCGCCTTTCTTTATCTCGAATCCTTTTCTTCCTGGTCGATGTTGTTGTGGACCCCAGCATGTGGTCTTGAACCACGCCGGGGCCACGGAATTAACCCTGGCCCGATTACGCTTGTCTGATACTCGCGATGAAGAAAAAGACCGGAGAGGACGTGGACACAACCGCCTAATTCAGAGCTCAACCACGTTGGTGTCGTTGTGTCGTGTGTGGGGTTTGCGCGTGAGTCATACATGCGCAAACATCGAGACCTGAGTGTGAGGATAATACCAGGATAAATGTACGTGCTAATGAGGGGGAGTTGAGGATCCGCGCGGCTGGTGAAATGCTGCGAAAAGGGGAACCCTGTGTCGGAGGCTGGAGTGATCGGATTAGCTAGTGTAAAAACGCGATTCACAGCAATGTGCACATTGACATGCACGATCACTGTATTCAACTTTTCCAAGTACACTTGCTTTTTGAGTAGTTGGTTAGTCTGAGGGTTAGTAAAAGTTTTTCAATTGCCAGGAAAATACCCCACTCAAATTGAGATGTGATCGCGGTAAAGACCAATACTGCAGCTGAACATTGAATCCTGTGCAGCAATTCTACCAAGGTTTATTAGATAGCGTGGCCTTTACATCCTTAAAGGGGACTTGCTGGTGTATAAAACACCTCTATTGACACAAGTAGGTCTCCAAAGCTTATTCTTACTTACCAGACACCTTTCACGGAAGTAGAGGCAATCGTGGAGTTAGTGAGTAGTGTAGAAGACACAGAGAGATCTCATTTTGATTTCTTTAGGTGGGCCGGGATCTGCTGAGTTTATGGATAGCGCAAATAAATTTCTGTCCTCTCTGCAACTGAAGTTGGACCAGGAGGGCTCGGACCGGGCCACGCTGCACCTGTGGGTCCAGCTGCTGTTGCGTTTCATGGCCGTCGTCGACATGGACAGCGGCGGGCAAGGCAACAAGACACGCAGGGGCGTCTCTACAGACGAGATCAGGGACAAAAAGGCCCTTTCAAAAGTCCAGCGTCACCTCGCGCTACTTCTTGGCTACGCCGACCAGGCTTTCAACATTCCGCCGTACAAATTAAGGTGTGGTCTACGGA